CCCCAAAACCCCAAAACCCCAAAACCCCAAAACCCCAAAACCCCGTTCTTTTATAATACCATTGAGATTTAAATAATAGGAATTGAAGACAAATGGAAGCCAAACCTAATAGAAAGACTAAGAGGATATACTGTAGCCTAATATCTGTGAACAAGAGATTATCAGGTAGGTGTTCAGACAATAATACTTATTTCCAACAGTAAGAGTCAATTGAGACTTCAGAGCAAACATCTAAATCAAAATGAACTTGAAAAGTTTTTCATATCCTTGATATTTAAGATAGCCTTCATTCCAGCCTATTTATAGCTTTCTGGTATCTTAAATTGTGAATATTTGTTTACAAATTTAGTTCTAAACTCGATTTAATAAACTTCAGGCCTTATCTGATTTAAAAATAATGAATATATAGAAGGAAGAGCCCCAAAAACTGACTATTCCAGTAGATTAAGCTACGATTTGGAGCAGAATAATCGAAGAATTTCAGCTGCTGACAACTCTTTAAAATTGATACAGGAGAAAGGTATTGCAGGAGTTTTCAATTTTTAGCTAAGAAAATATTTGAATTGAGTCCGAAAAATTTACTAACTGAGAAATCGCTCCAATTCCTTGTGGAGCTTATAGATGCAAACTTCTCAACTAGACTTTTAATGGAGATATTGATGGTCAAATGGAGTGACAAAGACATGATAATTTCTGGAAAAATTCAGCAATGTTATTCGAAAGACCTCCAGAAAAATGAAGAGACTAAGGAACTCCCTCAGACTGGAAGGTTGAATTATTATAATCAGCAGAAGTGAGAAGGCACATTGCTCCAGAGTATCTTTGATTGAATGAATAACTCCAGAAATAAATAGACTTAGAAAATTTTCCTCTTACTTTTTATGATACTTCAGCTTTAACAACAGCATTGTGCAGAACAAGCTCTGAGAGGGCTTTGGCTTCAGTCCATTATCAAGTGCAGTAATCTTGAATAATTTTCCTAAGAATCTCAATAAATCTACAGATAAAAGGTAATCGGTGATAACCCTTAGTAACTGATTGAATTTGTGATGTATGGTAGTTCTTAACCTCAGATTTTAGGAAGAGTAATAAAAACTCTAAACTCATGATAATCAACCTTATGAAATTATTGAAAAATAATTGTGAACATCAGTACTCCCAGTATATAGAAGTAAAACCAAAGCAGAAAAAGTTGCTATTCTTCTGTTACCCAGAGTTCAAGTCAAATCTTGCCTCATTAAATGACTTTCCAGATCCATGGGAGTACTTAATTGGGTTCTTTGTCTCTCAAAAGGTAGGCTAGACAGCTTAATCATAGACTAAATCTGAACAGGAAATACCGTTGATGGTATCAGTCTCTTCTAAGTAAGCAAATCTTCTTATTTTAGGCAAAATTACTCAAGTTTTGATCAAACTTATGAGAAAGTTGAAAGCCCGAAGGACAGTATGAATGGTAAAAATGTACCTAATGAGTAGTTAAACTCCCGAAAAATAGCCCTAAGACTTATGTGTCATCCAAGATTACAGAGGAGAATAAGGTACAACAATATTGGTGTTATCCCGTAGAGTCAGAGTAGCAAAACTGCTCGGAATAATGTGTATAAGCTCAAACCTCCAAATCAAAGGTAGCTTATTGTTTGTCTAATATGATAGAATCAACTTGTCTAATAATTCCAGGAAAGAAGAGAAAAATCGGAAAAAGTATAAGAAGAATTTAGCCAGATCACAGCTGAAATATTCTACTAACCAACCTACTTCAAAGAAGCAGGTGGATAAAGGACTCTCTATAACTAGCCGCCTCTCAAAGGATTTCCAGAATCGACCAGTACATAGATACTCAAAGTAAGTTCTCCATTGCTCATCTGTAGACTTTCAAAATCGCTTCTAAAACCTGAGCAGAAGAGGACACCGATTATTAAGGCTGAGGTGGATCAGAGTGTCAAACCTGAGAAATTCAGGGCTTCTGAGTATTACTATCAAATCACCAACAACATCAACTTAAGTGTAGACATTAACAAATAAATATACTACAAGAACTGTGTTTAGCGATAGACACCACTCTATAAATTCAGACTTGTCTAAGCCATCAGAGAGTGAGATGGTCAGGAGGATAAACCAAAAATAAAAGAAAGTTACAGACTAAGAGAGATATTGATACAGCCAAGAAGACAGCTTCTAAACATATTTCCATTGTACTTAAGCATAATAAGCCTAATCTCCGCCAAGAGTTTGATATCCAACTGACTCATGACCAGGAGAAGGAAGAGAATTCTCCTAAATTGTAAGCTCATGGCATGTTATAATTCTAGTAAGAAGATGCATAGGAACACTAAGAAGAAAAAGAAGTCAATGTCGCCTAGAGGGCTGAAGAACTCCTTAGCAAAGTATAGCGAGAAGAAGTCCTTCCACTCTGATAAGAAGGTATAGGAGTTGTATTTATGCTCTAGAAGATTAATATGCATTCTCCTGGAGCTATATATTCACCTAAAGGAGACAATAACCATGAGAAAAAGCAAGAAGTGGGGAGAAAAAAATTTTTAGGCTCTTAGTATTTTCTGAATATAATTATTTCTTTAGTTCTCCTAAGTGCAATAATCCATCAACTACTGGTATATTTGATATAAATGAAATGTCTGAGCCCCTGCATCATAATCCTCCCAGAACACTTCTTTCTAAGCCAAAAATGGAGACAAATTCTTTGCAGTTATCTTTAACCAGGATTGATAAAAATCTGGCCAAACTCAATACGACTAGTCCTAATTTCTACAATTCTAAAAACTCTCAAAAATCTTCAAAGCCGAGGAAATTACAAAAATTTGAAAATCCAAATAGAAGGCTTTCGGGTGTAAACAGCAATATTCAAAGTTCTAATAGCTATATGACCTCACTGAAGACATGGAAGTCTGGTAGCCTTGGTTCCAAATTAATCTCCCCACATCAATTCCAAGGGGCTAAGAATACCAAAGTTTCACAGTTCCTAATCCAATCAGATAGAATGGAGGCTACTCAAGAATCTATATCCGAAAAATCAGCAGTCATACCTCAGGTAGTCCAATGTAATAACATTTATATAGAACCAGGTTCCATTAACAATGAAAAAGAAGTTACCCTCAAATCTCCCAATGACAAGGAAGATCTTAGACAGAAATCACGACTAAATTTAATTATTGTTGAATACGACAGATTTCTTTAATTCTGACCATTCAACACTAGACCTGTTGAATGGGGTTTTGGGGTTTTGGGGTTTTGGGGTTTTGGGGTTTTGGGGTTTTGGGGTTTTGGGG